GAGGGGGAGAGGGTGACCCGAGGCCCTGGGCGGGCAGCTCCCCGGGCGGGCCCCTCCCCAGGCGGGGGCTGGGCGCTCACTCACCGAAGTAGACCCTCTTGTTGCAGCGAGGACACATGTTGGGCTCCCCGGTAAAGGTGGTGACGCTGGAGGCTGTGGGCGGAGGCGAGTCAGGGCCACCAAGGGGCTCCCCAACCTCCCCCTCAACGCAGAGCCTGGCCCACCTTTGCTGGGCCCCTTTGGGGGGCCACTCGCCTTCCGCTCCTCAGCTCGGGCCACGGGCACCTCGATGGGGCCAGTGACCTGCGGGCCCTCTACAGCCGGTTTCTCGTAGATGTAGGAGCCGGCACCCCCGATGTTCACACCTGGGGGGAGGCAGGCACGGTGTGTGTGGGGGGTGGCCCGTGCCCTCGCCCACCACCCAGGCCCCACACCACACCCAGCTTCTCAGAAAACGGTCCTCAGCCCGGCCAGCGTGGCTCAGTGGTTGAGCGGCCCGCGGGGACACGCGGGGACACGCGGGGCCAGGAGACCGACATGAAGACACGCGGGGTCACACAGGCAGGGAGGCCCAAGGACACACAGGGGGTGGCGGTGCGGGCACAGGCAGGCGCCTCTAGGGGCGTGGGTGGCGGCCTCCTCCCCCAACACGCAGGCCCCGGACTTGGGCCCGGACCCACTGAGGCAGGACTGGGCAGCTGGGCACTGCCCCCCGGGCCCAGCAGTGGGTCCTGGGCAGGCAGGATCTTAGGGCTGGACTTTGCCCTCGGGGTCCCTGTCGTAGATGTAGCTGCCCACAGCTCCAGTATTCACTCCTGTGGAGAACGGCCAAAAGGGGGTGCTGGGGGTGCGGAGGGGTGCGGAGGGGGCCCCAGGTGCCCCACCCGCCGGGCCACACTCACCCTTGGGTCCGAAGAGGATTCCGTAGCAGGGCTTGTGGCAGTAGGGCTGGCCATCGTGCTGGGGGCAGGAGGGGGTAAGGTGGGGGTCCCCCGACTCCCCTGTCCCCACCCGCTCTGGTGGCTTCCTCCTCACACCCCTCCCGGGCCCAGAG